AAGTTTAACAAAATGAAATAAGATATATTTAGTTTATCTTATTTTTATACTTTCTATGTCACTGACAATACTGTTTTTTACTTTTACGATCTTCGCCCGGCTTACAGGGGGAAAATTTTCACATATTGAAACTAAAGGTTTTTTTCTTAAAATCTGCCGTGCGGCACTCCCAATAAAAAATACCACGGGCCGCCACTGCTCTCCTCCAAGGTACTGGTTGAAACGGTGCATTCGAATGCCGAACTGGTCCGGTAATGAATCCATAAAACGGCGGGGGAATTTTATATTTTTCTGTTAACAACCATTTATTTTATTATTATATCCGAATTAAACATGCTGAAGTTTTAATATTACTACCTTTAAGTACTGCGGGAGCAAGCAATTAAACGGATGCTCTCGATTATAAAATTTAAATGTCGTCTTAAAGTTTGTGCGACACAACGATAAGCGGCGACTCGGCGTGGACTGCCAGCCGCGTCAGGAATCGATCCTGCGGTCGTGAGAAACTCAGCGAGCGGCGACGGCGACAGGACTGTCTCTTGGCGGGGGTCCCAGCCCGATTCACACCGCAATATATAATTGACACAGGCCCGATGTGCTGCGAGACTGCTATTAAGAATCAGCGGACCTTCCACGCTTTCAAAAACAGCTTGTCCGTTATAGCACGAGAAAATATTCTGCTGTTCGAAAGAGTGACTAAATTTACACTATTAATGTTGTATTATTTCGACAGAATAAAATTCAAAATTGCCAAATCAGATTGTGTTTTGATCCTAACACCAAGAAATTTAGAGATTTCAAAGCAACTTAAGTATATACAGGGTGTCCCATATGCACATGATCAAAAAGGTACTGTGTCATTCTTTGGCTCAAAAGAAAACGATCTGACCTAACTTCCATTAAGAAAAAATGTCTGGCACCTCTGCTATTGATTGTCAAAGTTCTTGAAAAAATTACGTTTTTTGTAATATCTGGAGAATGTTACAATGGATTTTAACGAAACTTATTCTTTGGCTTTCACTTAACTTCCATTAAGAAAATATGTCTGACTTCTCTGCTACTGACTGTCAAAATTCTCGAAAAAAATTATGTTTTTTGTAATATCTGGAGACTGTTAAGATAGATTTTAATGAAACTTGCTGTGGACTTATTCCTAAGTAAGACTCATGTTTTAATGAAGCAACTGCGTCCTTCCGCCTTGGAATAGTTGTAAATTTTCGAGTGTCTAGGTACAAGAATTATCAGAACTTTTTATTTGGCCGCTGTCCTTTTTCGATATTTTCGTGCTCTTGGTAAAATATTGTAGCATTCGTAGTTTTTGTGCAAAAAACTGTTTTCAATTTTAGACAATCATTATCATTACCACTCAAGTACAACAGCTACTCACTACAATCACTACTATCGTAGTAAAGGATGATATATATCATTTTATAATAAATGAATTGTCAAATTTTTGACGATACAAACGTAATACGGAACGATCCAGAAATGTAGTGAAGGGCTCAGTTCAATTTCAATCGAAGGATCCAGCTATGCATCCAAAAAAATGGCGGGTATATCGAACATGTCTTGTAATTTCATCATCATCGATCATATCTATGTATCATCCAGTTTCAATAAAGACAATTACTGTCTTTCCTAGGTACGTCTTTACATTTTTTGTGTTAACAAAAAAAATCTAATGAAATAAAATGATACTCGATCCGTCGTATCGCGACAGGCTTTAAGATTGTGACCATTTTACTTTTAACATTGATATTCTAGGTAAAAAAATTGGCATAATTATTATTATAGAAAGCCACTTCTTGTAAAAGGGCAGATTTACTGCGATACGTCTAAAATTATCAAATCGCAACGAAACAGAAAATATTTTTTTGCATAAAGACTGTGAATGTTACAAGATTTTACCAAGAGCACGAAAATCTCGAAAAAGAACTGATGTATCAATAAAAAAAAAATTGATTCCAGCGACCAACTAAAAAGTTCTGATAATTCTTGTACCAAGACACTTAAGAATTTACCACTTGCCCAAGGCGGATGAATGCGGTTGCTACACCAAAACATGAGTCTTGCTTAGGAACAAGTCCACAGTAAATTTCATTAAAATCCATAATAACATTCTCCAGATATTACAAAAAACATAATTTTGTTCAAGAACTTTGACAATCAATAGCAGAGGAGCCAGACATTTTTTCTTAATGGAAGTTAGGTCAGATCATCTTCTTTTGAGCCAAAGAATGTCGCAGTACCTTTTAGATCAAGTGCTTATGGGACACCCTGTATATTAAAAATAATACACTGAAAGAAAACTAAAATTCGACTTATTTTCACTCTATTTCAGTTAATAATGTATCAATTTCTGTTCACACTCGATATAGTGAAATTTTCCTCTATTAGTTTGAGTACGACTAAAATTTTATGAGTGAAACTATCGGTTTTAGTTCAAAGATTGTCAAAAATATTTTAAAATTATCAAAATGCTCAATATCGAGTGAAAATGTACGCTTTCACTTAGACCAATTATTTTACATACATACATTTTTGAGAAATTAATCTTCTTTGCGATTTACGATGTGGACATTTTCTTTGATTTTGTCGCGACACGTGGGCAAATATCAGCCTGAAACTAATTGTAGTTATATTAATTACTATATGATAGATAAGTGTGCCATCCTATAGCCACTTAATTTTATACATTTTCTTCAAACAATTATTTAATACAGAGAAAATAGTAGTCCCTAACTACTACTTCAGAGCTACACAACTTTTTACATTTACATTTTTTTACAAACAGTTCTAAATGTTTTGTGCATCCAGTGGATTTCATCAAATTCTTGCAAATTAAGTTCAAATTAGTTAGCGAATTATCTAGACATTTTTTTATTTTATATACATTTTGGCTCCTTGACAAAATTTAATCACAGATAATTGTATTTATAAGATACTTGTACTTATCTATTCCAATGTGGTAAATAACTTGAATTTAGAGTTGCGTAATACTAATTTATTTATATAATTCTGGCATTACGAATTTAATTCTATTTTCTATGTATTTTACGTCCAGCCAATTATTTACACAGGAATAATAATCCTAAAACTAAACAGCAGGTAATATTGCCAAGATGTTCAACACATTTATTTTTTTTAATTCGCTTAATGTTTGCTAGTATACCTACAGTACAGGATATATTTAAATTATCTTTACATATTCTACCACATGTTCTTTAAACCAAAATAAGTCTATTTACATGGATTTACCTTATTAGCATAAATGTGTTTAGTTTTTGTAATGTGTATTTCAATAATTTTATGAAAAGATTAATACATGCAAATAAAGATATCGTAAAAACTGTTCAAATGTTTTACATATAGACAAAGGTTTATACAAGGAATAATATTAAATTTTACTCCTCGCATAATTTCGTTATAACCTCTAAGGTTTTTTGTTTCACCTTGAATACGTTTTCAAAGTTCTTCTTCGTTATTTACAGATGTCTTATAAACTACAAACCTAACTAAAAAAAATCTAATGTATGGGGCACGCAGTATCGACAGTATCCAAAACCCAATACAGACATGCTTATTCGGTCATAACAAAACATTTAAATTTTCTAAATTATTGCAATATTAGTTAAAAAACTCTTGTACCTGCATAAGAATGTTGTGTGGAACTTGACATTCATTCTATGACGGAAACTTTACATTTTTTGTTAAGTGTTTTTTGGATCTGTTTTGTTGAATAAGAAATTAGAGTAGACAAGAAAATACGTTGAAGTAGTGAAATAATAGAACCAATTAAATTATTTGAAAGAAAATATTAGATTTTTTTCAAGTACTTGCCAGCTTATTTGAGTAACTGTCACTTGATTGTTTTGAAAAGAGAGAAATTCTAAATGTTATTTCTAGAATAACAGCTATCAACATTAAGTATTATTTTTTTGCTTGTTTATACTGACCCTACATTAAGCTTAATATATGTAACATTTTGGTGGGATTTACCATTCTAATGTTTATACCAAAGTAAATATTCTCATGCCGTTAATATTCTCATTTTGCTATTCATGCGCAAGCCACATGTAGAAAGGGTTCACCCATCAAAACGACCATTTCAAAAAAATAAATGACTTTACTACGCCTTGAAATATTACAATTATCTATGCGAGCTGTCTAACTAACTACTAAACTCAGTATCCCCACTTTTCGATTATGTTTAACATTAATAACCATAAAATTGTCCACTTAACCGAACAACATAACACGAGTATTTCCTTGGAGGCTCTGATGAAGCTGACATGCCTTATTTCCTACACTCATACTAACTAACATGTCGAAATAGTGTTCGAGAATAATTTTCCCTAATTTTGATCAGTGAAAGTTGTTAAATGGATACAGTTAGCTAACAATGTTCATCTCAGTGTGGACCCAGGGTAAGGACAATTTAGTACAATTTGTGGGCAAGCAAACACTTCGTTTGTACGTATATGGACTAATGTTTACCATAGTTCCGGTATGGGACTTATTGACCCCCTAATTCCCCAAATATTCCTAAATCGCGTAAATCTTTTTAATTTTATAAAAAAAATTTAAAGATCTACATTTTAAGTCCATCTAGCTCTGAAACTAAGCACATTTGTACTAAAGTTTATTTAAATCTACTTATCTTCATCGAAACAATATGTTGTAGGGAGAAGAATAGATGTAAAAATTTCTGTAAAAATTGTTATTGCTGTTTGAAACGTAAACAGCTGTTGTAACTAAAAATAAACAAAGTAAGAATCTCGTCGAAAGAGTTGTAATTCTAATTATCGGTTCGGTGAAATAATTGGCTGAAAATGAGTACCTAGGTATTTATTTTCCTGCCGACGACAGTGTTTCTAGTTTAAACATAATCGAACGTGATCATAGTTTTTGCACGAATGTTGGAATTTTCCATCGTCACGACGTAATTAAATAAACGCCGACGATAGGCAACTAACTAAATGAGTAATTTTCCTTTCTAGAGCAATCCCTACGCGCTGAAAGATGCCAGCGGAGCGGCCGACATGTCGGCGTGGACAAGCGCCGGCCTCCAACCCACCACTGGCTACTACCCCTACGACCCGGCGCTGGCGGCCTACGGGTAAGTCAATTAACGCCTTAATTACGACCTAACAATCTAACAGTACCGTATACACAGTAAATTGAGAAACATAGCTTTCGTTCATGCTGCAGTGCCCCAAGAAAATTCCGTTGGCTTTTAGATTTATTGCTCCTTTTACGGAACCACTCCGTCATTTGGATTAACAATTGGAAACGTGTAATGTCGTGACTAGTTTGTCATTGTATTATTGGCGGAATGATTTTGTCGAGCGTGTTGTACGGTACGTTGCATGATTCAATGTGCGCGTCCACGTTCCTTCCACATAAAGCGAAGATCTGGTGCTGATACCGGCGATATATCAGCGGACATGCTGGTGTGTTCCCTTCCTGTTGTGCCGCGAGTTCACCACTGTCGCGTTACTAATCCGCAGAATAATTGCATGTTACTTTTACGTGTATATTCGTTCCTATTCCACGCTATCTCGGGCTGGTTTATGGACGAGAGGAGCGCGCGCGCTCGTCTCGCGGGTATCTTTCGGCCTAACGCAATACAGGGTGTTTCTAAAATAGGGTTCCAGACTTCTGCTGCGTTTATAACTCATTAAAATAAGCCAAAAAGTTCCTATTAAGTTGTGCCCTAAAACGCATCCTTAGGAAGTTATATGCCCTTAAAAGGGCTCAAACAAAACTGTTTTTTTTCTGTTATTGACAAAACGGTCGAAAATAAACAGAAAAAAAATTATGGGTCTTACATAACTTTTTACGTTAAATAACATGGGCTACTCCGTTTTTCGACATGCAAATCATATGCGTCCCATTTAGGTTGGTGAAGGGGGTTTTCGGCCCGTAATTTTTTTATTTCAATTTTTTTACAATTTTCTCTACAGATTTATAAAATCTTAACAATTTTACGTAAAAAATATTATCTTCGTCCTAATCGATATTTCCAATGGTTTTCGAGTAAATTGAGTTTGAAAATTGCTCTTCTCTTTAAGTTATTATGCCAAAAATTACAAAAATCTGTTTACCATGGCAAATAAAAGACACTGACGTTGCCACAACGCTTAACAATTTAAGTTATTGATAACCTGTCAATTGAGCATTGCAGTGTTTAATTAGCAAAAGTGGTGAGTGGAAAATTTAAGTATACAACATTATTGCAACTCTTAAAATGGAGTCATATTCAAACACGGTAATGGCAGATATGCACTTTATGTACGGTCGTGCGGCTGGAAATGCATCAGAAGCGAGGCGTCTGTATGCGGCAGCATACCCGAATAGAAGACTTCCTTCTCGACAGGTATTTCAGAGGATCCATCAACGTTTAAGAGAAAATGGTTCGTTCCAACCAAGAGTAAATGATCGTGGCAGAGACAGATTTGTAAGAACACCGGTGATGGAAGAAAATGTATTGAGAGCTGTGCAGGACAATCCAAGGGTTAGTGTAAGAAGTGTCGCACGTATGCATAACATAAGTTTTTCTGTAGTTTGGCGAATTCTTTGCGAACAACTACTTCATCCTTTTCATATCCAGCGTGTTCAAGCTTTAAATCCGAATGACTACGAACCACGTCGGCAATTCTGCCAACGGTTTTTGCGAAAATCGAGGCGGATTCCGAATTTTGCATCTCTTATTTTGTTTACGGATGAGGCTTCAGTAAAGATGGTTATGTCAATTTTCATAACACTCATGAATGGGCTGATGAAAACCCACACAGCATATTTCAGTCCGACATCAGATTCGGTTTTCCGTCAACGTTTGGGCAGGCATTTTAGGCGATCGGCTAATGGGACCGTTTGTGTTGCCTAATCGATTGAATGGTGAGGGTTATTACAATTTTTTAGTTAACGACTTGCCAGGACTTTTGAAAGATGTCCCTTTAATTGAACGTCAAAGCATATGGTTTATGCAGGACGGGGCGCCACCTCATTAGCTACATAATGTAAGACAACACTTAAATGAGTTGTATGGAGAAAAATTGATAGGCCGAGGAGGTCCTGTTCCCTGGCCTCCACGTTCCCCTGACCTTAACCCCCTGGACTATTTTTTGTGGAGTCAACTTAAGGCAATGGTTTATAAAATTCCAATTGAGACCATTCAGCAACTACGGGAGGAAATTGAAACCGCGTGCATGGAAATAAGGCAAACACCTAGAATTTTCCAAAGAGTTCGCAAATCATTGAAGCGTCGAGCTAGATTATGCATCGAAATGCAAGGTGGTCACTTCGAGCAATTCTTGTAATTTAACTTATTATTACTAATTTTAATCCCATTATTTTCTATTTCACATTTAGCTATTGTCTGCAGTTAGTTCTTTAATTAGTAAGTGTAACTTTAAATAGTCTTAGTTTATGTCCTAAATTATTTATTAAATGATCGGATCCTTCATAACTGCAATTTATTTCAATAATGTTACTGAATTTTCAAACTCAATTTAATCGAAAACCATTGGAAATATCGATTTGGACAAAGATAATATTTTTTACGTAAAATTGTTAAGATTTTATAAATCTGTAGAGAAAATTGTAAAAAAATTGAAATAAAAAGAATTACGGGCCGAAAACCGCTTTCACCAACCTAAATGGGACGCATATGATTTACATGTCGAAAAACGGAGTAGCCCATGTTATTTGACGTAAAAAGTTATGCAAGAGTAAGACCCATAAATTTTTTTCTATTTATTTACGACCGTTTTGTGAATAACAGAAAAAAACAGTTTTGTTTGAGCCCTTTTAAGGGCAAATAACTTCCTAATGGTGAGTTTTAGGGTACATGTTAATTGGAACTTTTTGGCTTATTTTAATGAGTTATAAACGCAGCAGAAGTTTGGAATCCTATTTTAGAAGCACCCTGTATTCGTTCCTATTCCACGCTATCTCGGGCTGGTTTATGGCCGAGGGACCGCGCGCGCTCGTCTCGCGGATATCTTTCGGCCTAACGTAATATAGAGCGGGAAGCGGCGGCTCAGCGAGTAGCATATCCGGATTGCGCTGCGGCTAATTCCTGGTCGCGGAACGAGCGCCGTCGGAATGGCTTCAAGACAAAATGGCTGAAGAGGGAGCGCTATTGATTGGCGCGTTGTTGCGGCGTCGCGGCGCAGGTGGCGGCTGCCATCGCAATGCACCATTCGTATTTATCGGTTCCGCGACCCGCGGCCGAACGCTTTTGCGAACCAGTTCCCCGCGGTTTTGTTCTTATTCCAGAAACAACGTTTCCCGGTAATTGGGCGAATGCGTTACGGACCGCGCGGCAGCTCCTAATCTGACAGGTTCCCGCGATCCAGCGCTGGGCGGCAAAAAGAGCTGACTGAATAAATAGTTTGAAATGCGAGGTCCGCGACAGGGCGGACAAGGAAAAAAACCGATCGCTCGCTCAGCGGAAGTGTATCAATAATGTCTGGGAATCGAGGGAAACTTTATTTTTCCCGTTTTATTGACGTCGGTGGCCGCCTTTCCCTTGTCTGTCGAGAAAAAGTAGCCGGTTTAATAGGGGTGAAACCACTCTGGCCGTAATCAAATCCCACTAAAGGGGATAGCGAGGGCGAGCAACACTACATCAGTCTGACAGCTCTGCACAAAGAAATCCGCTATTAAGGCAATTCTTTAGGGGGCAGCGCAGCGTGACAATGTCAATTAATCCACAGTAATTTATGAATTTTACAAAATAATATTGTGATGAGAAACAGAAAAGTACACTGTAATGAAGAGGTATGGTAAAATTCCTCGAACTTACCATGATAGCCAGTTGCTGTAGAATGTTTAAGTAAAATTCATGTATAATCAATATACATGTGTCCCGCATAAGAACCGACACAGGGCAGGCGCTCGTAGGGGTGTCCAAAATATTGTAATTTAACCAAACTTACTTATATACAAAGTTGCACCCCTGAGGAATTATTAGCCCTCAAACTGGGGACCTAAATTTCTAAAAAAAATTAATATCTCTGCAACACTTTACCGTAGAAGAACCAAATTTGGTACATGATTTAGATTTATTACTGGTCTTCTTTGGCTATGATTTAAAATTAATTGAAGCACTACAAGGTGTTCATTGAGGATGACTCACCCCTAAAATTGTACCGAACATTTATTTCATTGACCGAATTGAAAAATAGTAATATTAATTCACAGCAGAATTTAATTTTAAAAATTTTTTTACCCTTGTTAAATTTTAAAAAACTTTATGGTTTTCAAGAAAAACCATATTAACTGACACAAGATTTTAACAGTGCTCATTAGAAAGTAATGCAAAAGTCAGTAGTAGGCTTTGTCTTTCAAATTTGAGAATTGGCCAAATAAATTTTACTTTACTTCTATCCTAATTCTACAAAAAGAAAACAAGTGCCTAGGTATGATTTTTAATTGTTAGAATAAAAAAAGCTTTAGGTACTAATGCAAATTGTGCCTCTATTTGACTAAACCAGATTTCCGGTTTTGTTATCCAAAACGGTGGTAATTTGATGACAAAGATTTTGTTGTCAACATTGATAGCTTCATTAATCATTTCATTTGTGTCATTCATTTTGAAGTATTTAAAAATAGTTAAAAATTTAGTTTAGTTTTGATATTGAGAGTAGGTTTATATTGTGTGTAGCAACCTTACCACAAGAATCAATATATACCTATTTTTATTTTTAAATGTTCCGATTTCTCTTTCTTCACTCTTCTTACTGCTTCAATTCAAAACTGAGTACATTCACTCAAATATAGGAACCCGTTAAATAAATTTTGTAGATAAACTCGTATTTGGTACACTTGTAACTAAATCTAAGTAAATGTCCTCATTATTGAGTAACTTCACGCCATTCTATGGTTGTCGTACGTTGTCTTTGTCTATTCCCATCGTTCCCACTAGGTCATGTGCTGGTGTGGTGTACGGCGTGTAGTGCTGAATAAGTGTCCGTTAATCCGGTTATTTTGGTGAAAATTATGTTTAAATGCAGTGGTTTGATTGCACTAATTAAAAACAATAATATATGGAGTCTCGATTAATATTTGGTTAAATAAACGAATAGTTAAATTCAACCGAACAGAAACATAATGTATACTTGTGACGTCCATTTTGCAATATCTACCTAAATCCCAGAGATTGCCTACCACTTCCTGGATACCCTGTATGACGTTTAATTAATTTCAACATCCTGTATATCAAATTAACCATTTATAAGTGACATATTTTTCATTAAATATTTAGTCAATTAAAAACCAAACCTATGCAAAGAAAATGCACAATAACAGTTAAATTTAAATCATATTCGAGAACAGACCAACTCTTAATTGTTCCTAAATGAGTCACTCACTTGATAATTGGAAAAAACTCACTTCTGCCGTAATAGTTTCATTAATAAAATTTCAGTTCAGTTATACTCGTACTAATAGAGTAAAAGTTTCACTCAATAGGGTGTGGACAAAAGTGGATACATCAACAATTTGAGTGAAATTTCACAGCAGATTAATTCCGCAATACCATCGGTTTAAAAAATGACATTATAACTATATTTTAAACTTAATTCATCCGCTTTTTATTGATTTATATGTGTTGAAAGTGAAGTGGTTTAGGTTTAAAAAAACAATATCAAATTCCTTTCTCTTTGCAAAGTTACAAGTCCTCCATTTTAAACTGTCTTCAAAATTGAAATGTTCTAACAAGTAGCGCAGAGTGATCTAATATTTCTCAAAATCCTCAATATTTATGCTACCATGTTCGTAGTTTTTCATTATGTGTCTATAAAAACACACTAGTTAGTTTTTCTGAAAATGAAAACAGGCATAGAGTACGACTTGCTTGTTCGAACATTGAGGGAAGAATTAGAGAATTTTAATGAATCGTCAACTGCCAGAGGTCAGTTTTAATATTATCGAAGAGATTATTGGCATATTTTATGACCATGAAAGACGACGACCTACCGTTTAATATTCGTGAAAATTTTAAATACAGGGTGTGTCAAAATAGAAGGCCATACCATTAACCACATATTCTTTGGAAAAAAGTAATGCGACTTTCCTCATGCCATTTTTTATTTGGGCGTCCCTGTTTCAATATACAGGGTGTTAAATTTACATTTTAAAAAACTATTTTTGTTAATAATCCCATTGTTTTGTAAGATACACACTTGCAATTTTGCACGTACTTTTATCTTATTCCGGCACACTTATCATGTAATTTTGGTGTAAACAATCGAAGGGCGAATGGAGGTAACTGAGAGATGCAGTACCCTTTATCCCCTCCAATTATTTCTAAGTAAGCCTATGAAGTTTTTTCTGAAATGAAATATCGAACGTAGAATTTTCTTCTGATCATTTTACCTCTTTTGTAAATTTTTGTTTAAATGCTCCGTTTTGGAGAAAAACGACATGTATTGATGATAACAAATGTCTTAGCGGCCGATAAATGTCAGGAAAAAATAGTGAGCTGTGAAAACAAATGTCCATCTTGTCAACATAATGACATTAGTTACTATTAGTTCTTTGATTCGGCAAATCGAGAAGTTGTAAGTGGTTATTAAGTTTTTAATTTAAGACAATATGGCTAATAGGGCGACAGTAGTTAATTTGACTTTTGGAGATATACCAGATATGCATTTATTAAACACTGACTACTTCTCGATTTGCCGAATCAAAGAATTAATAGTAACTAATGTCATTATGTTGACAAGATGGACATTTGTTTTCACAGCTCACTATTTTTTCCCGACATTAATCGGCCGCTAAGACATTTGTAACCCATCAATACATGTCGTTTTTCTTCAAAACGGAGCATTTAAACAAAAATTTACAAAAGAGATAAAATGACCAGAAGAAAATTCTACGTTTTATATAAATAAAACCTGCATAGGCGTACTTAGAAATAATTGGAGAGGATAAAGGGTACTGCTTCCCACAGTTAGCTCCATTCGCCCTTCGATTTTTTTCACCAAAATTGCATGATAAGTATGCCCGAATAAGATAAAAGTACGTGCAAAATTTCAAGTGTGTATCTTACAAGACAATGGGATTATTAACAAAAATAGTTTTTTAAAATGTAACTTTAAAATCCTGTATAGAAAGAATATGTGGTTAATGATATGGCCTTCTATTTTGGGACACCCTGTATATCAGTGAGGCGTTCAAGTATTATTACATACATAATTTTTTTTTATTTGAACATTGTAATTTGAAAACAAAGGGAATCGGACATAAAAACGAACTTTTATCTTAAAGTCACTAGTAAAACCAGTCCTAAATTTTTTCACCATTCATTTCTATACCCTACAGTAGCTACGGTAGTAGTAAAGAACGGATTTGTTAATTTTTCCATTTCTTTGCCAAAGTTGCTATTTGTAATGTAACATAATAAAATAATACAAAAACTGTTGTACAGCAGATACAACAAATAGATTTGTTTGACCTTTTTTACGACACAGTTTTATATCAGCTGTCTTGAAAGTTGCTCTAACTAGACTTCCGTGACGCTCAGTATTTTTATTAGGGAAACACCTAAAACACACCAAATTATTATGCGTACGTAAATTTAACCTTATTTTCATAAATGACACAATTATGGCTCACGTATAACGAAATTTATGGTTACAGATACGGTGCCGGGTACGATCTGGCGGCGAGACGTAAAAACGCGACCAGAGAATCGACGGCGACCTTAAAGGCATGGCTGAACGAACATAAAAAGAATCCCTACCCCACCAAAGGCGAAAAAATCATGCTGGCCATCATTACGAAGATGACTTTGACGCAAGTATCGACGTGGTTCGCCAACGCCAGGAGGAGGCTGAAAAAGGAGAACAAGATGACGTGGGAACCGAAGAACAAAACGGACGATGACGACGATGCCCTTGTGTCTGATAGCGACGACAAAGACAAGGACGATGACGAGAAACGCGATGATACAGGTGAGTGTAATTGGCTAAATCACGTATTAGTCAATTATGGTTATTGCTACTCACTTTTCCATATACCGTACGCGCCTAAGGTATGGAATAAATTTAGTAAAAACGAAACAAATTTTTTTTGAGAAAAATCCTCGAACAGGTCGATTTTTAATTTAAAAAATACTTATTTTAGCATAAAAGGCGATTTTCAACCATCATTTGTTTTCGAGTAATGACGTCATCGACAATTTTTTTAAATAGTAACCCCTATTTTTTTTCTTGATTCTGAAAGATCGTTTCATTGTCGATCCGACAGTATTAAAATGTTGCCATCTTACATAGGAAAGTTTTCTAGTAAATGACGATTGAATGTTAGAAAACCCAAATCAATTAAAATAAAGCAAAAACATTATCAAATTTAGCTTTTCGAAATGCCTGAAGTTTTTTATGGATCACGTAGGTGTAAATCTTTAGTGTCACTGTCATACCGACTTTCTAAGTATTGTAAGCGATATAAAAAATTATTGTTGAATTTAAAGTATTATGGCACAATTAACTGTCACACAAAGAATTGAAATTTTAATTCTTATCGGATGCTGGGATAAGACTAGAACACAGCAGGAAGTTTGCGATTTATTGAATGAAAAACATCCAGATCGCCGTATCAGCCAATCAACAGTCAGTAAGATAGAATCTAAATTTAGAGAAACTGGCAATGTTGTAGATATTCCAAAACCTGGACGTCCAAGCGTTAGTGAAGATCACAAACAGAACATTTTGATAAGTATGGTAGATAATCCTCACAATACTTCACGATTGGTTGCATTAAGTAATGAAATTAGTCAGACCACAGTGCTACGTATCGTGAAGAAGGAAAAATATCATCCCTACAAAATTCAACTTTTGCTGGAACTTAATGAAGACGATCCCGACCGCCGCTTACACTTTTGTGAAATTATGATGGATTTATGTCAAGTAAATAGAGATTTACACCGGCAAATACTTTTTTTAGACGAGGCCACGTTTTGTCTTAATGGTACAGTGAACCGTCAAACTTGCAGGTATTGGAGTCGGGAAAATCCTCATTGGATGGTAGAGACACATACCCAACACCCACAGAAATGAAATGTGTGGGCTGGAATAGTTGACAACAGAATAGTAGGGCCTTTCTTTTTTGAAGGAACCCTTACAGGAGAAAGATATTTAGAGTTTTTACAAAATGACCTTGTTCCAGCGCTTGCAATAATTTTTCCTAACGATAATAACCCTGATATTTCTGATGACACCATATGGTTTCAGCAAGAAGGTGCACCTCCGCATTATGCGTGCCCTGTTCGAGATTTTCTGGACAATTGTTTTCCTAGGAGGTGGATCGGCAGACGAGGACCGATAGAATGGCCCGCGAGATCCCCAGATCTTACACCCCGGACTATTTCTTATGGGGCTACTTAAAGTCCAAAGTGTACGTTAATAGACCACATAATTTAGAAGAACTCCAAAATTGTATTATAGATGAAATACACACAGAGTTACCCCAGAAATAATTCATAATGTGCAAGAAGAATTTCTACACAGACTTGCGTATTGTCAAGAAGTCGGTGGGTGGCAATTCGAACACTTTGTTATTTTTTTAATGAATAAAATTTACGTTTTCTAAAATTCAATCGTCATTTACTCGAAAACTTTCCTATGTAAGATGGCACCATTTTAATACTGTCGGATCGAGAATGAAACGATCTTTCAGAATCAAGAAAAAAAATAGGGGGTTGCTATTTAAAAAAATGTCGATGACGTCATTACTCGAAAATAAATGACGGTTGAAAATCGCCTTTTATGCTAAAATATGTATTTTTTAAATTAAAAATCAACCTGTTCGAAAATTTCTCTCAAAAAAAATTGTTTCGTTTTTACTGAATTTATTCCATACCTTAGGCGCATAAGGTATAATAATCCCAGTTGGTTACTTTGTTTTACTTAGTATGTGCCAATTTCTGAATTTCTGTACATATTTAAATTAAAGACAAAAATTAAATTTGAATTGAAAAAATATTTCATCTATTGCATGATCCCTTCAATTCCCAATAGAGCTATATGTTCCCTGCGCGCAGAATTTCAGTCTATTAATAAGCTTACGCCCCTTTTAACGCTCTTAATCTGATCACCGTTTATGCGAGTTAGCCCTCGGTGATATATAAGGAAGGACCCCTCCTCTGTCCCTAGCTCTTAATTACTTCAAGAGATTCACCCTCCCGACTTTAAATCATCCAAAAATATTGCTTGCAGACATCCACGGTCGGATAAAGTCGGAACAGAACGGGAAAGACCTGGACGACGACGACATGACGGACGACGATAGAAAAGACGACATCCTCGGTGGAAACATGCACCACATCTTGGGCAACGGGTTCGGCCTGAAGCCGGAGATGAAGACGTCCGACTGCGGCGTGCCCTTGCCGCCGTCCAAGCCCAAGATATGGTCCTTGGCGGACACCGCGGCTTGCAAGACCCCACCACCACCGCCCTCCCAACAGCAACAGTGGCTGGGCAGCAACGGGTTCGCGCTGCCCAGCTCGAGATACGGCGGGAGCGGTTTCCTTCCTAGTCATTGCCAGCAGGGTTTTCCCGAGGTCCAGACGGACACACCGCCCCAGACGCCGCCCAGTATGAAGCTGCCCAGTGTCGCTGGTAACTTGCTTCCCGGACAGGGGCCCTGCATAGGGAGCTCGTCCGCGAACAGCGGTTACTCGCAGTCCGGCTTCTTGGGCGGCTTCGGCAGGCTTCAGTCGCCGCAGAGACCGCCCCCGCCACAGTCCGGCCAGATGCCAGCACCATCGACAGACAACGCTGCCTTCAAACCCTTCTACAAAAGGTAAGTAGAATATTTAATCTGTATATTCCGTGGAACATGGTATATTTTTGTGTAAGATTCAAAACTCATCAAAAAAAGAATTTGAATATACGAGGGACTATTACTAATACAATTTTGTAAAAAGGAAACAAAAAGAACAGTTCGGAATTGATTTAAAAATCCACTTCTGTACGGCACTAGAAACTGGTCCACTGTAAAACCTGAGCATGCAGTCGGCGATCGGCAAAGCGGAAAAGTGTAATAAAAAATAAACGGACAAAAATTTGAAAAAATTTCTTTCCGAGGGAAAGTCCTACCCAGTTTCTACGAACTAACACAAATGTTGTCTTGGTTTACCATAACACAAATGCTTCACCATAACACAAATGTTGTCTTACTTCACCACAAATTAAAACAGTATCCATCAACTTCGGTTGCTATAGACGAAAGCTATTTTTGACACTTGAAAAACTAATGTAACCACTATCGCAAAAACGTTAATACTAAATAATGAAGTAATTACGAACGGGTTCAGGAAAGGTGATAGTAGTTCTTGGTTTAGCAACGAGTTATCCCAATCGTTATGAGTTCATTCTCATTACTTATACGTTTTCAATAAAGAACCATTAATCACTGATCCAGAAAATCAACTCTGTTGACGCATATACATATACTGCAAGTTGATTCCGAATTATTCGCGAATTACTTGTTGGAACAAACCAAACCTAAAGGACCTCAATTATGGCATATATTTTTAAAAAGGTCCTGTGACTTTGCTTTTGTTCAATTTAAATTGAATATAGTAATAAGTACAGACAAAGCCGAATTGCCTGAGATGCTACTCAGACTGAATAGAAAGTAAAAGAAAGTAAAGTATTTCTAGAGTTATCATAACGAGGTAATTTTTATAGAGACAAAGTTAAAGCTACGAGTATACCTACTTATTTGCACTTTTATACTCGGTGCAAAACATAATCCTGTGAACACTGACTAACTTTCTGCAATTGTGGCTCATTTCCACCCACCATGTCTCTTGATTCCTAATACATCAAATCCTGTATTAGTCAGTAACGTTACCGATGTTCTTCGGAATGAATGGCTTGTATATGTTTCAGGATGGTCTAGTTTCAAAAACAGTACAATCTTATTAGCAACTATAGAAAGAGTAGAACTCAGACGAGAAGTAATTGTACATGTACGTGACATGCCATTTTTAGATTCTGGAATTGTAACTACAATAATGTTATCATCGAAATTTTTGAAACTGACGTCCAAAGTAAGTTTGCTTAACTCATCAGAACGGCATGCTCCTGCAATGTCTGCGACGGTCACTACCTTCATTAGCAAATATGTGTTATCGGGTGCCTGAACGAGAAAATCGTTGACTCGTTCTCTTGTAAAAACGTTTGACTTTTTACGTGGATAGCCGTCATTCTTACGTTTCAAAAGTGCTCTCAGCTTGGGGTATTTTGATATATCCACGTTCTCCTCTATGAAAATAGTTGACTTATTCATAGAGTATTTACTCCACAAAGTAGCCGGTGACTTTAAAGTTCTTGACTTCTCAATGAAATATGCTAGCAGTGACATTTCAGAAACACCAGCATTTTTGTTCTGGCACCAGAACAGATAAAGCAGATAAAACGTTATACACCCCGCAGCAGTTAAGTATAATTTACCAGTCTCGGACTCTATTGCCAGCCCTCGCTCCGCTCGGGCGCAAAATCATCCTCAACTGGTAAATAATACTTACCTCCTTTATAGTGTAAATAACTATTACAGTAATGTACGACAAAGGATTTTTTACTTTTTATTATTGTTTTCTTTTATGTAACTCTCAAAATATTCATAAAATACATTATAAATTGCTCAAATATTACCAGAAATACTTTTTAGGAAATATTTAAAAGTGTGGGATTGAACAAACAATGACATTGCAGTCACATGCGAGCGTAATAATTATATTTAACACTGTCCTCGAAGTACGACAAAATATTTTGCAAAATAAAAAAAGTGGTTTTGCATGATTACGTGTCCCAACAAGAATATTGTATTAAAAACATAATATATGAGCCTTTAAACAAACGTAACAAAATTGTTTATGTTACAGCACTGGAATTTGTTCATTTACGAAGCATTTTCATGAGCATAATTTATCAACCGAATACACGACTAATTACCGTATTACAGCTGAACAACTTAACTCATTTAATTGGTAACCTAAAAATAAAAATTTCAGATCCTTATCGTCGAAATTTCGTCTGCGGTCTGGGAGTTAATTTCAAGTACCTACACCGCTAATTTATTTCTACATCGCCTTTGAAAAATAAAAATAAAGCTGTTTCCGTACTTCTCATTCTTGAAATACGTGAAATGGAATATGCATAAAAACAAACGAGTTGGCCGTGAAATTCTAATGTATTGTATTGCGAATTTTGCCGGCAGAACAGTGACGTACCGCGGTAAAAATTTGGGCAAGGCGCAAACTATTTTTAGGTACATAAGTATATTTGGAATGAGTTACGGGGCATAAAAATTTCCAAAGTTATTGAAAAAAAAACTGGAATGAATAGAAACCTAATAATACAATCTTTTATCCCTGCTATAATATTTAATTATTATATTTATTTAATATTATTAAATGCGCGAAGCGGGAAAGTAATTGATAATAAAATAATGAATACGTACATCTTTATATACTTAGATAGATCCCAATATTTAATTTTAATTTTTCTAAATAGATGTCACAAGGTGTGTAAGTGTCATTGTTCAAGCATCTAAATATGCAACACGTAGCTCGTTCCTTATTTATTATTTTTCTAAAAAATAACCGCTGAAATTATACAAAGTTGAAGTACTATGTTCGTCAAATATCTTTTGATACTTAGGCCTATTTGACATTTCAATGCTTCAATTGTTAAACAATTTTTTTGTAATTCCCACGACATCGGGTAATCACCACTTTTTGACATTTCAAGAGACTTATCACATTCATTTTGTTTTAAAGAAGGACGGAAGACATAACATCTTTGGAAACGTCAGTAAGTTTTAACGAACGGCATCGCAACCAACCCGAAATTTGAAGTATTGAAACATCAAAGGGGTTAAGTGCCAAAAAGTGATTTCTGAGAAATTTGACAAAAATGGCATAAAATTTGAAAATTTTTGTAGCCATACGTCCAAAAATCTAGGCACCTTCAATAATGTTGTGTGTACAGTGCCAGATGATGTGTACTGTAGTATAGAGAGCAGTAGAACTACTGCAGGAAAAATGAAAAAAATTAGATAGGTGCTAGTGTTCCATATTTAGCTGCTTGAAGTTTCTTATCGAATATCGTATCCCAAATGCCCTGCAAATCCAAAATACTGACTTCCCTAAGATCCTGTTATATTCTTTTTTCAGAATTAAACGTTTGTGCTAGGATACGACTTAAAACTATATTTTATAAATAAAAAAATATAAAATGCATCGATTATCAACATATATTCGCCGACAAAACCAACCAATCTGGTAAAATAAAGACACTTTAAGACAAACAGTGGCACTTACAGCTTTTACCATTTATTATTTAGTAGAAAAATTGTCAAGTATTGGCATTCGCTCTCAATACATGTAATTCACACTGGTATTTTGCACTTTTATATAGTATAAACTCAATTTTATGCAAAATGATTTCAGTCCCTTTCACATTTCAACGCTTCAGTAGGGAACTCGATTATTTTTTTAATTGTCTTGTAATAAGCAGTACAGGGTGTTTCAGGATTAAGTCGACAAACTTTAAGAATATTTCTCATAAAAAAAATAAGAAAAAAATCAAGTATAAATTTTTTTCCAGAGACGCTTCATTTTCGAAATATAGGGTGCTAAAGATTTTTAAAAAAAATTTTTAAATAACTAAATCAATTTTGCCATGAAACTATAAGAGTTGGGAAAAAAAGTGAATGTACACTTTTTGTCAATAACAAACTGTTCTATCTAAAAACAGCATCATTTTTTATTTTCAGTAGGTCCGTATTAATTTTTTTATAATTTAAAGAGTCTGAGTCCCCATAACTCCGCCACTGGTTGCTTGCGGAACTTCTACTTCTGTGGAAAAATGGTATCTTATAAGAAAATATCATGCCAAATTTGGCTTAAATAGCCTTCTTCAATTGGAAGTTATTTAAAAATTCGAACTCTTTTAAAAATCTTTTAACGCCCTATATTTCGAAAATGAAGCATCTCTGGAAAAAATTTTATACTTCATTCCTTTCTTATTTTCTTATGAGGAATATCTCAAAGTTTGTCGACTTAATCCTGAAACACCCTGTATAATCATGTAGTGAAAATATTAGAAACCTCTTAAAATAAGATCCACTTCTTATTTGTGGAAGGGCGAAATGATCGGTGACTATTAGACGCCTTCATTATAGCCATCTTTCTCTATCGCACGAATTTCTATCTATCGCTCTCACGTAACGCCCGATGAACCATGAGGACTTTCCGACCCTGTATACTACATATTTATGCAATTTTAAAAGAAATTAAACCTGAACTAAGCTAAAATCCTCAATCACCATAATTTTCGAATTACGCACGTTCCAAACTTATGTTACTGAAACGCTGGTAGTACAAAAGTTGTTGTTAATTAAAAAATAAAAAGGAACTCACGTAATCTAGATCCGGACCAGCTTATCTCCTCATTAGATGCTTATTTACCTAATCAAATCCGTATAATAATTCAGATCTATCGCCGTCCATCTGTTCTCACAATTAAGAGTGGACAACTTATCCGGCCTGTGTGTTCTAATTGAGGTTTTTTTTTGTTCGCAGCTCCCAAGGCATGAACGGAGGGTTCGTGTCGCCGGTTTGAGCCGCTCCCTGTTGGGCCTCGTCGACTCATCTGCTAGGTAAGTGTTGCCCACGCTCGAATACGCTGAATGAGGAATGCCCGCAGTCGCTATCGCCACCTCGGTGACATTGACAAATGAAGCGAGATTCTGATCGGTGAATGGTTCTTGCGCGGGCCAGCCACTAACTAGCCCGCGATGTGCCCGGGTCTGCTCAATCGGACGCAAATACGAATTCGCTCTCGGGAAGGTTTGGGTTGAAAAATCCAAATATCCAAATAAAAGGAGAAACATTTTTATTTTATATTTTACGGAAAAAGGCACAAACACAGTTGATAGAAAGTTTGCTTCCATGAGACTGCCATTTTTTATGTCTAGATCCTAATTTTTACTTTTTCGAAAAAGTAATACTTAGCCAAGGGCATGCCAAAAAGTTACTTCAGTTTTTCAATAGAACAATTCGTAGGTACATAAAACTGGTGTACCTAATTTTTTAATAACGTAATATATTTAGAAAAAAATATATAATTAAACATTATTCGCACACTTCTTCAACAACATCCACACAAATTTGAAAGCGAGCAAGAAATTCATTATAGCTTAGTCTAATCTCTCCTTAAGTTATGGGCTGTACAGCTTTTCTAATACATTGGCCGATATTACTGTTCAAAGGTCTGTTGTCCACGATCTGTTTGAATTAGCCCACCAGGAGTCCAAGTCCATGATTGTTAAATCTGGACACCTTGCGGGCTATGGATATGAACCATATCGGTAAATTTATCGACTGGGAAATGTACTCTGTAACCGCGTCGTAACATTTACAACACAATGTGTCGAACAACCGTCTTGTTGAAAAGGTATTTCGTTACGTAAACTTTAGAACATGTATCTTCAAGGAAACCGCACAGCAAACATTTACTTTTTTGAAATATTCTAGTCCACATAGTATTCTAAAATGAGGATTTCTCGGCATCCTAATATCGCAAATGTTGCGAAGCAACAATGCTGTTTGTCGAAAAAGTAGGTTCGTCCGAAAATATAATCTGTTGATGGAACTTTAGCTCCATACCTCTGATTCACAGACAACAAATCGAGCCATTTGGTTTCGTCACCTTCGCCTGCCTTTAAAGTGTGGTCGAAAACTGGTTTTTATGGCAGAATTTTATTTTGTTTCACAATTTTTTGCGTCTCATTTGTATCACCTTAGGATATTCATTCACTGACTGTAGAACTAGCATAGTAGTGGCATCTTCATCGTCATAGTTTTTCTTTTGTCTCGGTGTTTTCGACAATGACCCTGTTCTTAAAAATCTTTGAACTATTTTATGTGAACACTTCTGTTTCGTTGAATTCTTACGTTACTTGATGATAAATGTTATCACCCTTGCCATAACATTCTATTAGGTTTTTTTGATGTAGTGTCAGCAATTTACTGTTCGGTTTATTAAATGATGTACAGTGACACAATAAGCAAAGAATAAAATGTCATAACGTCAATGATTATGTAATTAGAATTCTATATTTCTATAGAAAATGTCTTTCTTATTGGAGAAAATTGTTTCTTCATATCAATTGTACCCATCGACAAATCTTCTAATAAACAGTGTTTACTGATTTTGCCATAACTTGGAATTCTATATCATTTTTCACACCTAAACATTGTGGAAAAAGTAGGCTTTTTTCCGTAAAATATATAATAAAAAAGTTTTTTGTTTCATTCACTGTAACCGTGGACATTCTGTATATAGAGAGATATAAAGGGTGACGATACAAAAATTTAGAGTTGACCTTTTATCTGTCGTGGTTTAGCCTGCTTGAATTTAAATTTGTGTCATTCGTTTCTAAAAATCAAGTATGCCCTGGATATTAAAAAACATTATTTTACCAGTAAAGTGCATTTTGTGTAAAGATGCGGTAAAATGTTATTGGGAAGAGTAGTTCAGAATCATAATTATGTGTGTCAATCCAAATATTGAAATAGGCCTAAGACATTATAATTTTCCCCACATGCTTAGTTTATCATTTTGAGAAACATTTTTTAATAACATTTTGTTGTATATCATACATTACTATCGAAAAAATAAAAATCAGAAGCAGAAATACTTAGTATACTTAGTCTAGAAATATAGTATGCTGTATACTTAGTCTAGATATAAAAACGATAAAAACAATATGAATGCTGATTGAGATATTGCATATTATGTTCGAAGATAAAAACTTTATAAAGAAAAAACTTCAAATATGAATGATAAATAAATATTCTAAGTAGTACAGATATTTTCTAAGAAGGCATTTCTTTAGATAGAGTCATACACTTAAATATATATTATCTTAAGTTGACTCCAGATGATAAGCTCACTTGCCAAATATTTGTCAACCGTAAACAAATGTCGTATCGTGTGGATGATGCATGTCGGTATACTCGAAATCATGTCTACACTTGCCAAATACAAACGATACACTAACTTCAATAATGTCATTTCTACAGACTGAAATTCCTAATTTCTCTACATTCCTATAAATAAGAAATGACAAGTGTGCAAGGGTTGATTGGTACCTGTTTCTCTCTTGCACTTGGCAAGGGTATACCTTTGAATAAATGAAATTTGAATACGCAAAATTTATCAATAAAGTTCCGTGTCACTACATATCCTAGGGGTTTTGAAGTTAATGTTAAATATTTATATTTAGAGATCCAGTATTATCTTCTTACTTCAGTTGCTCGACAAGTAATCTCCTTCGTTGTTCTTTCTTTTTCTTTTGCTATTAACATACATATTGCACTGGTGTAAGAATGCCATCTCGACATCTTAAACTTTTCTAGTTCTCCTTCCTTCTTCCATGCCTAGTGATTGGTCCTGATAAGTCCCATGGTACCGCGGCCTCATTGGGCCTATTGTGCGTCCCACTACTAGTCCTATTCAGCAAGTAGTTTTGTCCTTTTAACAAAATCCAAAAGCTTCCTTGCTGACACTTCTCTCAGTTCCTTGGGTTCCAAATAGGGTCCCTCCAGGAGCGTCATTCTACTACGTGCGAATCTCGGGCACTCGCCCAGATATGCAGAGAAGTTTCATCCGCCTTTTCTAGTTACTTTGAATATTTCGAAGAGAAAATATTGATGAATTTTAAATCTTTCATTCTTACATGTAGTTTCGGTTTTTCCCATCAACAACTGAACCGCATAGTTGACGATACCGGCGCTATAAACCTTCTGATAACTGATTTGATTCGTTTCTGAAGACAAACGCTGATTCAGATATCGCACTTATGCCCCAAGGTCAATCCCATTTGAACTTTTGTCTAGCGAACTTAGCAATCGGTATCACGAAATATATTTTACATCCGTCTGATACAAAATAACTTCAGTTTTTCTGTCCAATTACGTCGTCTGAGATCCTAGGTAGAATCCAAACATCTGTGACACCTTTAGAGCTCACACCGACAGGATTGCCACTTTTATTTGGAAGGATTTAATGAGGCCGCCACCTCCTCAGTCCAGACCTGACCGGATAAACCTGTCCCGCTGAGAACCCATTGTTTTAAATCAATATCCTCTCTACACACCCTTTCTATTAGAACAAACATTCGTCTGACGTATTGTTATGGCCCTGTGGTCCGCTGCCTCACTCCCGCTTTTGTCATTAAACGTTTACAATTAGGTCCGGACGCGATAGCATCGCACAACGGTCGCGAGAAAAGAACACTCTTAACTTCTGACATAATAACGTTAGATTATTATTATTATTCAATTTAGTGACGTCGGAGGTGGATCCATGATAGGAAATCTGTTGGTGCTAATTCCTAATTCTTTCTTAATTTCATATAAGTATTTCTCTGTTATAGAATGAGTAGAAGTATCTGTTAATATGGCTTTCAAATTAACAAACGGTACTTAATAAAAAACAGAAAAACAACAAATGAATAATTAAAAACAACGACAACAAAGGAATCTAATTTCAGAACATACTTCCCTCCTCGGTATTTTGATATTGAATTTATTTAATCAGACATAACTCATCACAACTTTCAAAGTTTATAGATGAATTAGGGTAGGAACGATGAATTAGGTTAGGAACTTTAAAAAAGATTAATTAGGTCAGGAACTTTTATAAGTTTCAACTTAGGAACTTTACAAGTTTAAAGATGAACTTAGGAACTCCAAAAGTTTAAAGATGAATTAGGTTATTGTTAAAAAATATAACTTAGTGGTTCTTTTTTGGTACTGTCGTATATATAACGCAACTTACATATTTTGTTAATTTTCAAATTTATAAGTTTATGTATAAAAATTAAAAAAAAACACGCTTTTAGTGACGTCATTTTATTTTCGCATTCTTCTCAGCAAACCCTCTAATTTGATACCCATATCATGGGAGTGCATAAAAAATAACTGGTCAGAGTCGGCCATATTGGATTTAGAATGACGTCACTTAGCTAACCATGCATTGTCATCTAAACTAAACGTATATGCAAAATTTGATGCATACAAACAAGGCAAGTTAAAAAAGTGCAAAAACGTCTATGATAAAACTATCTAATTGTGGTTCATTGCCATTTATGGCGAGTGTAGGCAAAATATAACAGAGCAACAGAAAGACATTAGATCTGCTATAGTTACCTAAACCACATATCTACCTAAACCAAACAAGTCAGGAAACTTTGAAAATTTAAAGAAGAGTTTTTTTACTACGAGGGAGTTTGATTTCACAGTTAAACTCAATTATAAAAAATTCTCATACAACGGAAATTTTACAACAGCAACCACAAAAGAAGTAAAATTAAAACGTTTGTATCTAGCTGTCAATTGTTTATTTGTTCTATTCTTTAATTTACGACTGAAATTAAATTGATATTAAAAAATCGTGTTAATGAAGAAGCAAAATAGATTTTAAGACCATTTCCGTTGAAATTTGTGATATTAATTTAATAAATTACATCAACCAAATCATAAAAATTATTTCAAGTCTTCTCTAAGTAGGTACTTTAAACTATGTTTTATTGTTTGAAATGGCAATCCAGTTTATTTTTGGGCGGTTGACATTACAAGATACACGTTTCAAGTATCTCAAAAACTATTTACTTTTCGAAATTTATTTTATATTAATTTTATTGGTAAAAAGATAATCTACTTTCTATTAATTAATTTTTTAAGGTTTTTAATTAATGTCATAGGAACCCTGTCTGGCTTTTCCAGAACTAAAAGGTCTCTTTCAAGTTCAATCTGAAGAGAAAGTTACATGTAGAACACCCTGTAGATGTTTCGGAGTGAATGTTCATCAGCAATATCGAAGTTGTAGCACCTAACTTTTCCTGATGATTCTGCTAAGCAGATGTTATCTTTTTACTTTTCGTCGTTTTGCTTATTATCATGTGTATTAATTTCTGTATTTTTTTTGTTCCAGATATGCACAACTGGATGGTCGATGGAGGGAGCAATAATTAATGGGCAAAGTGCAAACAAACAAATATATAGTGTGAGTGAGGGACCCTCGTGTTGATCGGATGGAATCTGTTGTATATTTGTGTAAATGCATTTATTTATATCTGTGATAAAGAACAAAAGAATGTCGGCCGCTATGATGTTGACGTCTTTCAGCGATGGGACTTTACTTAGAGGTAGTTTCTTGAAAATAGAAATTGCTCGCACCTACATTTGTAAATTGTTGTGTATCATCACGAGTCAGCATAGTTGTACTTTCGGGTTTCACCTATTTTATTGTTATGTTCTTTTTAAATAATTAGAAAATTGTTGTGTATAAAGAGTACCATATCATGGATTTGTAAGATTATAATTATTGACTAACATTATTTTTTGTTGGCTGTTAGCCTAAAGTTGTAAATTATTTTATCTGTTTGTAAATAGATCAGTGTATAGAAGGATATTATAATTATGATTGTCTTAATTAAAATATTAACAGAGACTATATATTAAAACCCTATATTTATTATTACCTCCTCAACAATCCCCTCCTTCCACTTTCAACGACACACGCACACAGAGAACAAATAAGTAAGTATATTCAAAAATCGAGGAATTGTTCAAACAGTACTCACCAAATTCTAAATTTATGGCAATTCGCATTTTTCCACATTCAAATTAATGTTCATTCGAGACAACAAGAAAACTTTTAAGATAATATTTCTGTGCATATTTATTATTTATTTATACAAATTAAGACATCAAAGCCATACATTTTTGTTTAAAAATATGAGTGTTGAAAGCTGAAAATGTGCCAAGAAATTGAATAATGATTTAGTCATCGCCCATTCTGCAGTGCTGAGTTATTTATTATGTTTGGACATCAATTATCCAAGAAAAAAAATGAATTGCAAGCAAATGGTAAGTATACAAAGGATATAATAATGAGAATGCTTAAGGGTCGTCTAAAATTACTTCTTTACCTCTGAAGTACAGCATTTCAAAGAAAGAAAGTGACCATGATACAAGATGTTTATCTCTGTACACAATTCGTGCAAAATGTCCCAAAAGAGAAAGTAGTTTAAGTGACGTTACACAAGTCTGCTTGAAAAACAATTTTTTTTCATTCTTTTGTACAACTGTGATATTTGACGTCACACAAAGCAAAAAAAACCTCTTGGAACTTCATATTTCATTTTTTTCTCCGTTACAGACATATAGCGCCACCTCTGATTAATTGCACTAACCTTATTCTTACTGTATCCACATAAGGCAGTATGAGGTTGCAGTAAATTCAAACGACTATTAAGAGTCATTTCAATTTGACAGTGCCCCAAGATAAACGCATATAAAATACAATTAAGCATTAAATATCAAATAATTTGCAAGCTTGCAACTTTCTTAGATTTTTCCTATGTGTGCTAACAAGAAAAATTATTAAAGTTACAATAAAAATACAAAATTAGGTGAGTATTAAAGAATTTAAATAGTTTTATAGATCTGATCTAGTCTAAAGTTATTTTTATTTTCAAGTGCTAAATTCCAAAAATTTTCCTAAAAATCTTATCAAACGAAGTCAAACAATTTCTTTGGTACAAAAAATCTAGCTATAGATAAGATATAGATCTCGTAGGCAAGATTCTTAACTGAAAAAGATTAAATTAGTTTTTTGGTAATGTCTGAGGTTAGATATCTTTGCATACCTTGATTTTTGGTATCAACGAACTTGTTAGACTTCTTTTGATAAGATGTTTAGGAATTTTGTTTGCATTTGAATTTAACACTTTCAAAATAAAGCAAAAGTAAAATAATAATAATAAAATATATACTTATTTAAAACAAAATTACAGCACGTAAATTTATTTGAAGTTCCAAATGACTTAATCAATTTTAATAACTTCAAATTGCTAAACTGTTTTTTAACTGTCTTTTAAAAAATGTGATGGTAGTCAAGGTGATTCTGGCTAATATAGTTTGTCATACTGTTTCAAAAAAACTATTTTGTTTAACAAAAAATTTGATTCAATAAAAGTTAATTTAAGCAAAGGTTTCTTTTTAACAAAACTTTGATTTGATTGAATTTCTGCATCAAGTTACTTTTTAAGTGCTTGGCTATGAAGGAAATATTCCTTTGCATTACTTCATACAGACGAACTGAAATAGAAAGGATATAGTGTGAATACTTGTTTATGGCACATAAATTTATCGTTTAAATAAATTAAAAATTAAATATTCACATATCTACACTGGTTCCTCAACTTTTTGGATAAGAAGAAGACTACGTATCTGAGGGTTGAGTATATTAAATATTAAACAAATTATTAAATAGGATGAAGACTTTTTCAATCTGATATATACAAATCCGGTCGGGAACATACTGCATTATTGATCTACTATTACTCTCTTCTTCGATATGTTATTTCGATGTAAACGATGCACATTTTTTAATTTTCAATATTTCCAAGATTTCAGTTATTGGATATTTTACCCTTCAAAACTGAATACATGACAAGGTAAAGTCACTAACATGACCATATTTAAATATTTACAATAACAGTACTTGTAAATGTAAATTCATTTGGAGTACTTATAGGAAGATAAAAAGGTGATTAATTAAAAAATTAAGGATTCAATTTCTTCTAAACTTTCCAGGTAAACGGTTTGTGCTAAAATATTTTATATGCGGTTGTTGCTACGTCGCTGGTTTAGATTGTCTCACGTTTCGAGAGGCATATTACTAGCTTCTTCAGAAAAAAACATTGAAACTATTCCTGGAAATTATTCAACCACTGATAACTTAGCCATGGTTTTTAAGATATTAGTGTTCAATTGAAGAATTTAATTCAACTGGTCCTTGTTTGAGTATTTCATTTCTCATTATTTACCCCTTTATGTTTGTGTGGGGCATCAGTTCTTTAGTTAAGTTATGTCCAACTAGGTTCCCTTACACTTATGTGCCTATGGTTATAGTTAATTTGATATATCTATGCTTTATTATAAAATAAGAAAATATCTCTTTGATTCGATGGGCCTAAAGTTAGTTTAGTCAACATAACTCATTTGTATAACTCAGTATATTGCAACTTCCATTGATTTGAGTCTTCAAACAAATGTTGTACTTATACACGGATTTCTAAAAAGGTTTCTATAGATTTATTTCAAATTGAATTACTATGGTATCGCTAATAATTCGATTGACTTTTTAGAATGTTACTCGTATCTTACTAACAGTTGTCAGAGTCTTACCATAGTTACAAGTCTGCTGAATATATTACACAATCTGGTGTATCTCAGGGATATAGATTGGGTGTTCTTGTCTTTTATTAAGGACATAATGACATGATTTGGACATCTGTTTTCTCTCAAATTTCATGCATAAAAAGTTATACAGGGTGTCCCATATAAAACTTTCCACCTGAACATTTCGTTTTACATAAAGTTTTGAAAAAAATTCAAAAACACGTCAATTTTTAATTTGAGGACATCGACTTACATCATGACTTATTTTGCAGTTGCCACCCCTTCGTAGATCGAAGTATCAACTTTAAAATTTCAAATGGCACTACAGGGCGTGTGATACATCGTTTGAAAGCTCTTTTGATGCTGACTTTGAATCCGTAAAAAAAAATAATGCGTTTTCAAGGAAAAAACATTGAAATTAAATTTTTGGAATTTTGTATTTTTACATTTGAAACTGTTTATAATAGATGCTCAAATTGTGCACCCAGTTGTTCTTGGCACATATGGAGCCTGTCTACGAAACATCTCCTTACATTTGCAAAAACCTCTGGAGTTAAATTTCGACATTCGTTTACAATACGTTGTTTTAAATCTTCAAGATTTTCGGGTCGACTTGCTGATTTGAGAAAAAAGTCGTTTGGCCTCAAATCAGGAGACCGAGCTGGCTATTCTATAGCCCCACGCCTACCTATCCATCGTCCTGGAAAATTCTGATCCAAATAAGTCCGAACTCGTCGCTCAAAACGAGGTGGAGTTCCGTTTTGCTGGAACATCACAAGATCTAACATCATGTAAATGAAACTATCTGTTGAATGGTATAAAATAAAAATAAAATAAAGTAAAATAATTTATTTCTACTATTTAATCTATCATCTGATCACCTATCTGAAAAATCCAATTTATGGTTTATTTTTCTTTCATGGAGCAGATCATGTAGATATAAGTTATATAATTTGTACGTGATACGGAATCGGCTTTATTACTTTGATGTTACAGCTGCGACCCAAATAAATTTTGGACTAATTAATGGCTAGTAATATTTTGTAAATGCTGATCAACTAATTAGGGAATATGTCGGAAGAAATATATTTGTTTCAATTATTTTAATAGATCGTATTTATATTAAAATCACCTTGTCTTTGTAGAGGTACGATGGCTAAAATTCCTATACTCAAATTATAATGTACGTCACTTATTTACATGTGTAACAGCTGGATTAGTGTTAATCCATGTCCAGTAAAAAAACTGACAGCAGGATTTGTCTGTGAAATTTATTGTGGTACTTATTATTTATTATAAAAATTAAAAAAAATAGGGAAAGACAAAAATCGATTTGTTTTTATTAGAGAAATAGGAGACGGATATATGATGTCCTGCAATTGTTTAAATTTATATTTTCACAAGGGGTGTTTCATTATAACATACTAATCAAAGGGGGTAACATAATTAATCCTAGGGGTAATAGAACATGAAAAAAAAAAATTTCCTATGAACTATAGATCTAGGGTCTTATTTCCAAGATAAAGGGTGTTAATATTTTTAATAAATTACACCGGTATCTCGGATATCAACAATCCAAGAACATATGGTTATAGAGGAGGTTATACGCAACACAATGCTGCCAATCGCATATCACAAAATGTCTCCATCAGTTATGTAAATTAAAAAGTTCGGTTATTTTCTGAACAGTCCTCGTATAATAGTAAGAATGACACAACGGAATTTTGAATTTTTCGGCGTTGTACATCGTGCACACATCTTGATTTGTGTACCTACAGCAGTTAATTTATTAAGCAGAT